AAAAGAAAGGTTATACAGCGATTATGACCGCAAAAGCTGTTGGACATAGATTGACGTGATTGTGAGATTGGCTGTGTAAATGAACTATTTAAATCTGTATCCGTAAAACTACGACGAATAGTGGCATGAGAAGAATTGATGAAAAAAGAAGAAAAGGAATGTCATATATGCTGTCATAGGCCCATACTGTTAAATGAGCTGCTGTGAGCTTGAGGTGACCATGTTCACTGCAGTAATATCTGATTCCTTAATTCATTATCTTTCCAAATTTTGTGATGATTGCACCATTTTGAAAACAGCAATAATGAAACTACCAAAGTTGAAGAATATTATAAGTTTACTATATGAAAAGTCTTCAGATAAATTGTGGACGCCTTCTTACAACTATTCTGAGTGGACATAGTAGGGTAGCAGTCCAATTATGGGTTTCTTGCCCACCACCAGATGATACACTGTGGAACAAAATCAAAGACCTTGGATATGAAGTAACAGTGTACAATTGGAACAATGAAAACAAAAAGAAGTGGGTTGATATGAAGCTTGGAATCTCCAACTCTTCTTAAGGCAAAAGATTCTGGCAAGAAAATTGATTTTGGCCACAAAATAGGTTCGCATATTAATATGAACACCAATAATAATAAGAAATAAAATGGGATTGGTGTTAGTAGCTGGCGATAGAAATTATGAACCTGCGCTAGAGAAAATATTGAAAGCAGGGTGGAAAGGCAAAATATGATTTTGGCTTCTGGTATGAAATTTTATTGTTGTAATCATAAGTTTAAGTGGTATACTCGAAATGAGTTTAACAATGTCTTGTCATTTTAAACTCCAGGCATTAAACAGTGAATACCAGAATTTTTACATACTGTGTCAGACCTGATCTCACCAAGAGAAATAACGATTTATAAAACAGCTGTTTACCACGGAACTGTTAATTGGTCAAAAATCTACCCCGAGTATTTTGGATCGGGTGACAAGCGCCAACTATTACTTTTTCAAGACGTCATCAATCACGCGGTCAAGTTTACAGCCAAATAAACATTTTACCGGATTACTGCTGTACTGGGGGGCCAATCACTTATTATATTCGCGACAGTTATAGAGTTTAACGCGTCATGTAATGAATATTGGTTTTTTATGCGCTGAAAACTTGGGATATAACAGTAGACTTGCTTTTGGTTCCACGCACAAGAGTGTATTTATTTAAGTAAAAGACCAAAAATATTAATATTAATAAATAATCGTTTTTACGTTCCGATTTACATTGTTTACTGTGGAAATAGAGGCTTCTATTTCTGGATTAAATTTTTCAACGTCAATATGAAAATTGATATTATGGTTACATATGTGACATAAAAATGCGAATTATATGCAATATCGTCAGGTAATGTCATTAAATGTCTATTATTTACATTAAATAATTACACGGATAAGACAATCAATTACAATTTTTTGAATCGGCAACTGTCATTGCCGGGCACCACTCGTCACACCTCTGCATCGCACTATTTCACTATAAACAGAAAGATATGGGATCAGCAAGAAGCATGGTAATAATCGAGAGACACGAGTTCGAATATGCGCCCAGACTTGCTTATAGCATATTAACTTACCTGAGAAGAATAGCAACCAAAACTGTCATTGCGGTCATTGGTGAACCGACATTTGCTGCAAATGCCTGCAACTTTGAAAGTAACATGTTTGCGAATATGGTTTTATACCAGAAAGCTAGAGCAAATGACGTAACACCAAAAAACCCGTATATCGATATAGCCGCGTAGTTGAACGTTCGCATCTGGTTAACGACAAAAAGTGCTTATCAACGAGATGTTTATCCATGACTTGTCAAAACAAACTTGCGCGATTTTGCAAATTCCATCCTCCCCCCCCCCAACCTCCCCCAACTTCCACCAACCTTCCCCCAACCTTCCCCCAACCTCCCCTAACCTCCCGATCCGAAACAACAGCCTACCCTTCTCAGATCGTACTTGAACTTTTTATGTCGAAATGCCCTCTCAGTTTCTCGCTCTCTTTCCGTTTGAACAGTTACCGGTACCGGCCTATTTGCGTCATAAACCATTCGTGATTCCTGCTCCCACATTCCTGTAGGATACGTCCGGTCTCCTTCAACAGCACCCCGTCCTTGTACAATCGTAAAGCTTGCTCTAGTTAAACGTACCAACATTCTCCCGTATATTATAAATCCAAGAGAAATCAATACACTCGAAACCGTATAGCAAAGTAGTCGGACGGCAGTAAACACATCAGTCAGATACTGATTGTCGTGCATGCGAAAGTAACCAGCAAGCGTTGCTGCGGTCTCGGGAACAAATACCGTGAAAACGACAAACAGCCAATAACCAGCACGTATTACCGACAGAGTCGGGACGTAAACATTGGTAATTCGCACCTGAGACGGTTGGAAGAACTCCATTTGAGGAATTGCACGGAAACTGGTAGAGAAAGGATGAATCAATGGATAAATTTTGGGTGTTGTAAAGATTTGCTACATCTCCAACTTACATTCCGGCAAGATACGTAATTATACAAATGACCGCAAACATCCATTGAAAGTCAGAGATCAGTTCTCTGAATATCCAATTAGTAGGAAAGATATCTGTGATAAAAAAGACACTACAACAGATGTGTGCTAAAGAATGATTTGTGGATGCATTAGAAAAGCATTGCGATATCGGTATGTGTCTTGTTTCTTATCTCTCTCACCTGTCAAACACATCGTTACAAATAGGAGGAATCCTTCCAGAGGTGCAAATGTGCCATGTTTCCAGAGTACCGGTTTTGAATTTGCCCTTACCCGCATAAAGACTATCATCTATGCAAAACATCATAAATGTTAAAATCACATGACAGTCATCAATCTTGCTTCCAAGAAAGACTTACACCGACAAGAATGAGAGCGACAGTGGATATAATTGCGTTTGCGAAATAAACGGCGACGAAATATCCCGAGTCACGGCAATTGTATATAGTGATATGCCACAAGCAATAAACTTCATTTGAACCCCCAGAATCACTCATGTCGATGTCATAAGTCCCTTTTCCTTTTTGAGGCGGGGGTGTGTGTATTAACACATATCAGATTAAGTGTATCATCAGACTTGGGAAGAGAGAAAATGGTATGAAGTGGTCTGGTTCTTTAAAAATGAACGTTTTTGTTATGTAAACACCCACTACAATATAACAGTAATGATTGCCCTAGCGTGGAAACGTGTGTTTGTAAGGATTGTAAGGGAAAAAGAAGGGAGAAAGAGAGATGGAAAAGGGAGAGAAGAGAAGAAACGAGAGCGGCAAAAAGCTGTGAAAAGATTGGGATGAAGCGATTTAAAAATCAAAAATAATTTATCCATGAAAATGACGTTCGCTACACAAAAGTTCTTATGCATTGTACCAAATTACTAGTACAACGAGGTTTTTTCGTGGGTAATCGGAATAATAATAAGAACAACTGATAACAACACAAGTTGCGCAAGTTCAGTATCGATTGCATAATGCCTTCTTGTATGACATTCGATTTCATATCTAATCATTTGATGTGTTTGTTTTTGCCTTTTTGCAATACCCCGTGGCACCACGGTCCCAAAGAACTGGGATACTGGTTAACATAATAATAAATCTATCAGCCAAAGAAACTATCGCGCATAAATCGATCAAGTAAGTCGATCCCTTATTGGGCAAAATTAATCACACAGGAATGTCTTTTTGGG